ATGTCTACTATCCAATGTGATTCATTTGCTTATATGATTTCCTTGAATGTGATTTGGAACGCATTCCCCAATCTCATTCATACTCTGGCCAGAGATTCCAAATCATATCATAGAGTATTCTCCCTCAACTGTTTGAAGGTTAGAGATCCCTTGTTGCGCATTTACTTGTCTCCATAGCTAAGTGGCTTAATCCCAACGATGCCGTGACACCCCTAGGGGGTGAATTAGACATAATCAAAGATTAAGGACTTAACCACAAGACAACTGTGATGCCTCAGGTCAAAGGACTACTTTGCATTATCCCAACCATGAGTTCTCATGTGACATAGAATATAAGAACTCTTCGTTGATCACGTTCAGTGAACTCATTCTCTTATTGAGCACCTACGTACTTGTCTTGATGTCACACACACCAATGACTCGAGACTAGTCACTCTCCCTGAGAGAAGACACAGTACGTACTGATCTTAACGGACTGTCAATGCCCAATTGGTAATCCTATGATCAGGAACATTTAGGATGTGTCTACGAAAGAATGGTCTCATTAATCTAACTTCATTAGATTGCATTCTCCCAATCACATATTCCTTGGACTTTATCGTTTAAGCATATAACATTTATATGAGACGGCTCAAACAATAATCTTTGCCCTTTATATGTTAAACTAGATTAGTTTAACATTTGAAATGTCCGTAAAGTATCATCATATGATTGGTTTTAGGGCACATTTCCAACAGGTGGTGAATACAAAAGTCATGTTTTCCAACAATTTCTTGATGTTCATGGTATTTCACAACGCTTTTCGTGCCCTAAACACCCTGAACAAAATGGTTTAGTAGAACGCAAACATCGCCACATTGTTGAAACTGCCATTGTCATGCTTTCCAAATCTTCCATGTCAAATAAATTTTGGGTTGATGCTTGTTTAACTGCTACATACTTAATCAATCGCTTGCCAACGCATGTGCTTTCAAACACTTCATTTGAGATTTTTTTTCAAAAAAAACCAAATTATGACATGTTGAAAGTCTTTGGGTGTCGTTGTTTTCCCTGGTTAACACCATACAATAAACATAAATTGCAACCAAAATCTAAACCATGTGTTTTTCTCGGATACTCACTCAATCATCAAGGATACAAATGCTTGGATCTGTCCACGAGACGAGTTTATTTGTCTCGCCATGTCCTATTCGATGAGGATTTTTTCCCTTTTAAGGGACTCACGTCTTCTTCTGAAAGTGTTGATACACCAGGTAACAATTTTTTACCCCCGTTATTATTTACCTTTCCCTTATCTAGTAACCCTATGCTACCTGCTTTGCCTAATCCTACCCCAAATGTTTCTTGTTCTATCCCCCAAGTCACGACCTCCGTCCCATGTTCAGACTCCCCTAATAATCCCACCACCGTGCCAAATACACCCTTGTCCCCTGTTGAACCTAGTCGGCTTTTAGGACCCTCCCTTCAATCCAATGAGCAAGTATTAGTGGATTCAAGACCTGTGCATATTGATGAGCCTAGTGATACGGGTCATTCCATGACTACTCGTTTCAAGTCAGGGGTTATCAAACCTAATCCTAAGTATGCTATGCATGTTGCAGTTGATTCTGTTCTGTTGAACCTACTTGTTACAGTCAGGCCGTTAAGCATGAGGAATGGCGACATGCAATGGTCCATGAGTTCAATGCTTTACAACGGTGTGGCACGTGGAATTTAGTTCCATATCATCATACCATGAATGTGCTCCCCAATAAATGGGTGTTCAAGATTAAAAAAAGAGTTGATGGTACTATAGAGCGTCACAAAGCTCGTTTAGTAGCCAATGGATTTCACCACAAAGCTGGGGTGGATTATAATGAGACGTTCAGTCCTGTTGTTAAGCATACCACAATTCGGCTTGTGTTGAGTCTTGCCGTGTCCAAGAAATGGCATGTGCGCCAACTGGACGTGCAAAATGCATTTTTGCATGGCCATTTAACTGAAGATGTGTTCATGCGTCAACTATCGGGTTTCATTGATCAGCAGTTTCCCGACCATGTCTGTAAGTTGCAACGTTCACTTTATGGTTTAAAACAAGCTCCTAGGGCTTGGTTTCAACCGTTTTCGGACTTCTTACTTCAACTAGGTTTTGAAGAATCCACATGTGACTACAGTTTGTTTGTCTTCAATAAACGGGGTGTATATCTTATTCTGTTAGTCTATGTCGATGACATTTTAATTACAGGGAATAGTTCTACTCAAATGGCACATTTGATCAAGAAACTTGGCAGTTTGTTTTCCATGAAGGACTTGGGGCCCTTGAATTATTTCCTGGGTATTGAGGTCCAATATAATGGTGATTCCATGCATCTCAGTTAGTCTAAGTATGCCTTAGACTTACTCACTCGAACTAAGTTCACCGAAGCCAAACCGATTTCTACTCCGGTGGTGACTGGACAGAAATTAAATGCACATGTTGGTGATCCCTATGAGCATCCAGAAATGTATCGTAGTGTCGTTGGTGCTTTACAGTATCTAACACTAACTCGGCCTGATTTGTCGTATGTTGTAAATCAGGTGTGCCAGTTCATGCATTGACCAAAGAACACATTGGGCAGCGGTTAAACGCATACTTCGTTACTTAAAAGCAACGTTTAATCATGGCTTACTGTATCGACCTGGAGATGCCACGTTAACAGCTTATTCTGATGCAGACTATGTGGGTAACCCTGATACTCGTCATTCTACTGGAGGATTTTGTATCTATTTGGGTTCAAACCTTGTTTCCTGGAGCTCGAAGAAGCAGAAGACTGTCTCAAGATCGAGTGCCGAGGCGGAGTACCGTTAATTGGCTTATACTGCTGCTGAGTTATCGTGGTTACGGTCGTTATACCGAGATCTCCATTTGCATTTGGTTCAACCAGTTATATGGTGTGACAATGTCTCCTGCACTTGCTTCCAATCCCGTTTTTCATTCCAGAACCAAGCATTTGGAAGTTGATTTTCATTATGTTCGTGAGAAAGTTGTTCGTGGGCAGCTTTTGGTTCATTATGTTTGTTCTCAGGACCAACTGGCTGACATTTTCACTAAAGGGTTATCTTCGTCAAGGTTTAAATTTCTGGTTTCCAAGCTTCCGGTTGTTTCCCAACCAGTTAGCTTGCGGGGGGCTGTTAGACGAAGTCAACCTCAGGATAATTCAACCGTGCATTGAGGAGTCCAACGTACTTCTAGGAGTTTGTTTCTGTTTTGAACTTCTCACTGATTAGGTTTCCTTGTTTCTAGGATGTATATCTGTAATCTTGTAATCCGTAGTTTTCTGTTATGGATTCCTTGACGTTGAGTCTCCTTGTAAATAGGGTTTTCAAACCCTCAGTTGTTATCTTGTTGAGCTTATAAATACAGGCAACCCAGAGTTGAATGGGTATGCAAACAAAGTGAAATACCTACGATCTTAAGTGTTTTTATATCACCCCGCCTAACCTGCTACAAGACATGTTCCTTCATTGGGTTTACATACCATTACCAAGGACATATAAGTGGGATAGAAATTTAAGCATGATGTGTGAAAAATGTATGTTTGTCTGCATATGTAGGATTGTATACTTAAAAGGATATGATTATGGGGAGCTCATAACCATTATAGCTGCAATTTAACCTTTCCCACGAGTAATCTTGAGGCGCACATGGGTCGCCTTGCCAATTTCTCTTCATTCCGTATGTACTCTTCATGTAGATTTCTGCCTAGGGGTAGCCTGCCGCGCTTGGGGATCATGGATATTATCCCAATACAATTATATATATATATTTTTAAGTATTAGTAGATATTTATTTATATGTTATATAATAACTTTAATTAAAATAAAATAAAATAAAAAAAGTCTAGATGCTTAGGTGCTAAACTCTAGACTCTAGTCTGCTACCCGATTAAAGTCTAGTGTCTTTAGAACCTTGATAATTATCAATCAGACCTTCAACATCTATGCCTAAAACCCACTATTAAACTGAAACGCCTATGCCCAAACTCCAGAACAGCCACTACCTAAAACCCAATCTTTTTGAGGCGAGGGCATGGCCTTGTTACCACCAAAATGTTCTCCTTCAACAATAAACCAGACTAATCAGTCTTGAATCTCAATTAAAATACCCATATTATCCTTGTTCTCAAAGATGGAGCACCTATATTATGTTGCCACCGAAGCAAAGGTAATGCCTATTACAGAGTCTAGGTACGGTAGAACAAAAGTTGAGTTCTAAGAGTTAAGGGATGAATTTAGTTTCAAACAAGGAATTGAGATTAAAGTCATTAAAGTCAAGTTAAAGAGGCATCGAAACAAAAAAGCTTTAAATTATCCTTTAATACTCACTTAGTATTATGGTCTAATGAAATGTCTTAGATTTAAATTTCAGAAATGTGGAGTCCGATATCAATTTATTCTTCTCATTCCTTAACTAGCCGGAGCTTTGCAAATTTAAATTAGTTAAAGCAGAAGTTTTCAATATTTACTTTGGGGCTTGAGCAAGTCCACATGAGCTGGATCTGCATGCTTATGTTTGCAAAAATATCTCATGGTTGCAACCTTTTCCGGTTGGATTGGACATGCAGTACTTCCAGATTGATGGTGTTCTGTTGTGTCTTCGCTCCTTAATCTGTTTTTGCCTTCTTCATGGCTTTTGTTTACGGGATGAAGCTGAGCTATTTTTTATGCTTGGACTTGTTTTCTACATCGTTTCGCTTTGGACATCTATATGGTCATTTTCTATACATTCTCAACAGAATTTTATGTACAAGTTGGTGAATGCTCAATGTAGATTTCGGATTGTAGATTGCCTTACCATTTTGTGTTCAAAGTTGTCGGTCAACGTATCTTCACAAGTTTGATAAAAGTAACTATGCAGATTATCCGTGATTACGGAGTTTGCTCCAAAACTATTCGATCTCGACCAAGTGGCGAGAACTTAGTTCATCCAAATTGCAAAATTCTAGGGTTTATAAAAGTCATATCTTAATTGAAAAAGGAAATGATAGCCAATTCATGATTTTATATCATGTTACCAATACGAACTCTGGTAATTGATTTTTTTACAATTAAGTAGTTGCAAGCTTCAATACAAGATAAACTAAAAAAGATTGAAATACAAAGCATTGGAAAATTCATCTTCTGAACAAAGAACTACCTTGCCAAAGGACTAAGTTCCGTAGTCACATTCATAGAGTAAATAACTGAATCTGTTGATTCAGTCACACGGTTGACGTTCGTTCGAGCCAACTCAGCTTCCAAACAATCCTTAAGCCCTCTCACTACCTCACTCATGTTTGCCCTTTTGTTGGATGTATCTGACACACAATTCATTGCTAGTTCAACAGCCTTCCAGGCAGAGTTGATTTCGTAATCTCCACGTAATCTCGGATCTAGAATAGTTTTGATATCCCCCATAGCAAGCATGGAGCTAACCCATTGACTTACATGAACCTTCTCCTGTGTTCTTGATATCGCAGGGCGGCCAGTGATGATCTCCAACAGAACAACTCCAAAGCTATAAACATCACTCTTCTCATTGAGCCAACCTGTTGTGTGGTACCTGCAAATCCAGACCAATGTTACTCAAGCGTACCATTTAGAAAGCGTGCATACAAGGTGTACACTCCCATTTTATCATATCTATTTGCTCCTCTTATTTTTTGTGCTTTGGTAATAAAGTAAAAAAAAAAAAGGAGAATGAAAATCGATATTGACAAAATGAAATAGACACTTACTCGGGATCAAGGTATCCCGGAGTTCCAGCTACAGCAGTAGACATATGAGTGCGTCCATCAGTTGGGAAAATTCTGGACAGACCAAAATCAGCTAATTTTGCTTGGAAATTTTCGGCTAGCAAAATATTTGTTGTCTTCACATCTCTGTGGACTATGGGTGGCTTGCAACCGTTGTGAAGGTACTCCAATCCTACATTTCAATTTCACTCTTTAATTTGTTACTGGAAACAAAATAGGAAAGCGTTGAATAAGTTTGGAATTTTGGATTTTGCCCAAGTTTACTGGCTAACCTTGTGCTGCATGTTGCTATTTGGAGTCTACCTTCCCAAGTCAAAACATTTGCATTATTATTCTCACCTGTACAATAGTATTGAAAATAACCAATTTATATTGGTTAAATGTTTCAATAAAACTGGGTAAAATTTCAAACTTTAATGTGTTTGCGTTGTCAAGTTTCTACCATACCTAGAAGATGCGAGTCCAAATTTCCATTGGCCATAAATTCATAGATGAGCGCCATGTTGGTTCCTTCGTTGCAGTATCCCACAAGACTTGTCAAGTTTCTGTGATGAACTCTGATTAGAAGTTTGACCTGCAATTTAAGCTTTAAAGTCATATTTTGTTCCTAGAAATTGGTTCATTAAAGTTTCTGTATCGGTTCTTGGTACATGCCTCTGCTTGAAACTGTTGGTATCCTTGACCTGATGTTGGAGAAAGCATCTTTACAGCTACTTGAGTATCATCGACTAAACCATGGTAAACTTTTCCGAATCCACCTCTGCCAATAATTGTCTGAAAGTTGTTTGTAATCTGCAGGACGTCCAAGTATGTAAACTGTCGTTTTTTGGACTCGAATGAATCAACTTGATTGTTGGGTTGATGTGAAACTGCTGTTACAACTGTTTAAATAGATCATCAAAAGTTTCATAAGCATTAGAACATGTGTTCGCTCTATTTACTTCAGAACATGTATTCTGGATTATCGATTTTTTAATCTTAGTCTTAAAACTTATACTTGATTTACCTTGTTGTTTCCTTCCTCTTTTTAGCCACATCAATATAGCCACTACAAGTACCACAAGAATAAAAAATCCACCAATTGCTGCTCCTATTGGAACAATTATGTTCTTCTTTTTCTCTGTCTCCTCCTTTTTGCATGAATTTTCTGCACATAGGCCTGCATTTTCTCCAACACTAGCATTGACAAGGTTGATGAATATACAGTCGGTATCAACAGTGTTTATCGAAGCATTGAAAATTGTAATGAAAAGAAGAGGAAAAGGAAATATTAAAGCAGTATACTAGAAAAATGGTTTTGGCTAGAAACAAACCTCAATGATAGCGAACCACTTTTCGATCTTTCAATGAGGTCGGCTGGAACTGAACCGTTGAGCTTGTTTCTTCCTAAATTACTGCAAAGGAAGAGCAAAGTTATTGATCACCTGATTTTCTACTTTACCACGGAATTTGGAGTAACAATTCAAATCGAAGGTACTTACAGGACTTTCAGGTTTGGCATTTTAGACAGAAATTCAGGTATTGATCCAGTTAAGCTGTTGTTTGATAAATCCCTGAGTTAAGAAAGATTCACACTTTTAGTACCCATTATGAGAAATATATGAACCATTGAGCTTGTGATAATGTGATACTTACAAAGATTGTAACATGGCGAGGTCAAATATATATGAAGTTATCTCCCCGGTCAATCCACTCGAGGACAGCTCCCTAAATAAAAGTTCGATAATTTTGTTAATTAACGAAGTTACAATAAAAAACGATGGTTTCTAGAACAAGAAAGACCTGCTTAAACTTACAAGGATATAATTCTGGGGGAACCGTTGAAGGTACAATTTAGACCTTCCCACATGTAGCCTTCAGGAGTACACGGGTCTCCTTGCCAATCTTTGTCCACTCCATATGTTGACTTTATGTTTGTGATGGCAGACGCTAGTATTTTCACAGGCATATTCATGTAGCAGTCAATTTAATAAAGCAAATACACGAATTTTAGGGAAAAAAATTGACTAGAAGATGTTGAAATGATTGATTTACCATCATCTGTGTCGGTTTCAGATTGTGATAAATCTATCAATGTGTAGACCTCCATGGCGTTGAGAATTGGTGGGAGAGTTGAATTCTCCGTTTGAACAAGTGAGAAACTATAATTGCCTCCGGTTAAGGCTGAGGGGCTAAACACAGTGATTGTGGATAAATAAGCCGGGGCAAAAGGTCCAAACCAATGATCTCCATTTAACGTGATATTGAATGATCTGGACTGGTTGGCTTTAAGCAGCTGGAATTCAGCAAAGTGAATGAAGATATAGTATTGAGTACTTGTATCCGGGGCATTCCAATTGAAGTCCATCGTATCACTAGGATCTAGAGGCGTGCTGGCAGATCTCATTACGAAAGATGGTACATGGTAATCATTGTGACTTTGAGCATCAACGGTAAGCGAGGTAGCTAACTGCGTCCACTTATTGAAGTTGAAGGGTTGCCAAATCCGATCCAAAGCATCATAGGGATACCTTAATTAAGTAAAAGTACTACTTATTGTCAGTATCTGAGCAAATAGAATATAATTAAAACCAGTACTACTGAAATGACCTTACCTGTATGTTTGATTAACTGTTGAACCGACATCTAATCGAAAGGAGAGTGCCAATGAACCCGTTGGAGTCAGATAAGTAGTGTTTTTCAAAGGCCTTAATTCCAATGATGAAATGAATGGTGCTCCGGTTCCCTTGTTGAGTAAACACACATTTATGTAGTCTAACGTGGGAATGTGAACAACTTCTTTGATGGTACTTAAAGATGCATCAATAAATGCCACTGAATCCCAGTAACTAGCTCCGATGACAAGATCAAACTTTGGCAGCTTGTTTAGGCCGTCATAATTACCATACAGGAAAGCAGCTCGGATTAAATACTTGGTGTTCTTTGTGATGTTTACTTTGTAACAGTTCTTGACCCCCCGAGGAAAGCTCCTGACATAAGCTGCCTGTAGCTGATGAGTAGCTTTGTATGCAGGTGCGACGCTTTTGCTCACACCAGTGCTTATGAAGGCTGCATCTGAAATGTAGTCAATGCCGGTTGTTGACTCGGAGTAGCTAGAATTTGATGGCTGTCCACAGTCCAAGCTGATGAAACCTGAGTGATCGGAGACGGTAAGTTAGCAACAACAAGACTGGTGGACAGTTATGAACAAAATTAATAATTTTCAAGTTTTAGATGATCAAATGTTTTACCTGATTGATCATCTTGTGCATGAACTAGAAGTATAAGAGAAAAACAACAAAGGAATACAAATCGAAGGTTTTTCAACATTCCCATTTCTCTCTAAGTTGAGCTTCAAGCATGTTCTCCATGAATATAGTCTTGCAATATATATTGCCAAAGTAGTAGAATAATAGTAAAAAAAAAGAAAAAAAAAATAGATACTATTGGATACTTAGTCAAATTTGTTTGTGTTTGTAAAAAGAATCTTTTGCAAGTGGAGAATTTCCATGGAAATGCAGTGAAATGAGAAATATAATAAGAATTACAGACTTAGTCTTCTTTCTCTAACCCTAATTGGTACGTACACAGAACTGGAAAATTCAATGGGAAAGGGATCCTCTCTGGATCCTTTCCACCAAATCCTCCCCATCAATTAATCTGATCCCTTAAAATTTGATCTAACGGTTAAAAATGGGGACTCATTTTAAAAGTTATAATAACTTTAATGGTTGGATCAAATTTCAAAGGTCCCGATTTATTGATGAGGAGGATTTGGTGGAACGGATCCCTTTCCAATTCAATGCTCCTGTCGTGATCAGCACATCCCTTCATTTATGCACACTTGCATGCAAGTCGCCTATCTGGCTTTGCCTTGACTTTGACATTACTTAACCATACAAATGAACGAGGACACTTAAATAAATGTTCACTTGCTGTATATCACAATTAAAAGGGAATCCAAAAGTTCAAGTTTGCGTAAGTCCTAAGTAGTAATTCTCACTTTAAATTTTATAATATAAATTAACTAAAAAACGAAAATAAATTGGTTTAGGCGACGAAATATTTGGATTACGTAGCGCAAAGATTTTAAAAAATAATTCTTTTATTTTATTTATTTTTGTAAAGACTTTGCGTGACGAAGTTTAAAGTTTCGTTGCGCAAAGTGACTTTGCGTGATGAAGTATAACATATGTATACTGTCACGGTGGCTTTCCGTGTCAATAAAATAAAGACATGTATAAATTTTTGTCCACATATTCTTATTTTGTTGAGAAAGAATACCATGCGACGGTGTACAGTAAGTTTTTCTCCCTACTAAGTGTCCAACTCTTATTCTTTATATAAATAAACGCGCGCACATTAACCTCATATTCGTATTTAAAGTACTCCATTTACCTTCAGTTTGACTTAAGCTCAATACGTTAGAGAGTAAGTCTAAGTCAATGGCTAACCAATTGATAGGAAATTCATTAGAAAAGTACTACACCATCAGAAAAAGATATAAACAATAACGAGCATATTATTAATTAGGATAGATAAGAACAAAGAAGAAGAATATTGTGGTAAATCCTTTAAAATTATATCAATTAATATAAATTCAGAATAATATTTTGTGGACTTGATCAGTTCCTTATAAAATGGTGCCCCTATGATTCAAGCAAGATTGATTAGCCTTTTGAGATGGCCAATTGTCCAAATCATTTTCACACTTTTTTTTCCCAATATGTAATTTCCCCCCCTAATTTTATGATGTTTGTAATTTCAACCAATGAGGTGGTAGGTGGCCAATTTCATTTCTGCTATTATAAATTATATACACAACTGTCAGTATAAGCCTATGCAAAAAGTCTCAAGTCAAATTGCTGACTTATAAATATAGGCTTATTCAATTAACATCTCACATATTGTTGATTAAACTTCACATACTTAATACACTCAATATTTGCTTTTTCAATTAAAAATTATCTTAATACACCTCACATACTTTCTCATAATACTCTTACATCCCACATTCTCATACACCTAATATTTTCCACATACGCCCCACATTTTCGATACACCCCACATTCTTCAAATCTTATAATACTCATTTTCAATTTTAATAAATTAAATTGACTTGGGATTAAAACCCTAACATTCTCTAAAAAAAAGAAGTCTACAATCCGGTATGTTGAGCTTGAATTTCATTGGGTCGTCACAACCAATCTCATTACTCTGTCTCTTAAGCCTCTTGCTAACAAAAAAGGATTTCTGCTAAAAAATGGCAACTGGGAGGAACCTAACAGAGAAACAGTGAAGCTTCCGAAATATTGATATCGTGTTCCATTTGTTAATTTTTTTCTTTTCTCAATCAACGTTTTTATAGTTTCAATAGTTAGAATTTTATTCAATAATGGAGTGGAGGGTGAGAGGGGTTTTGATAATTGAAGAAGATAAGTAATACATTAAAAGTAATTTGGGGTGTATTTAGAAATTTCTTATTTTCTTTAAACTTCATAAGGTCGAAATTGTCATTGCATAGTAAGTTACATAAGCCACTTAATATTAAATTTTAATATGGGATGCATTCAACATTATGTAGGATGCTAATAAAAAAAAGTCTAAATATATGTTCTCAGGTCAATTGATGCCGTGTCACCGCACTTTGAGGCAGCTACCTAAGAATTTCACCCACAAAATTAGTAATGTAAACTACCAACTAGAAAAAAAAAGAACATGCATTAACGTTGAACATTTGATTCAGCCAGCAAAAATGAGCGCATTTTTCTTAATGTACTTCGTATAGCAAAGTTATTTACATTGTGTTATGAGTGCGGGAAATTGAGTTTAGACATGTTAGAAAGACGTAGCGTCAATTCAATTATACACACACACATAAAATGAGGAAGAGTTTTTATCACAAATGGTCCCTGAAATTGACCCATACTATCAAGATGGTCATTGAAATTGAAAATCAAATAACGTAGCCTCTGAAAATAAATGTTGCAAATCAACATGGTATTTCCATCACAATTTTGTTAAAAAATATGTGAAGTGTTGATGTGCTATATAAATGGGCTCCATAAGTAATTTTTTCTTACAATGGTCCTTGAAATTGACCTGGGACATCAAAATGGTCTCTGAAATTGACCCGGGACATCAAAATGGTCTTTGAAATTATAAATTGAACAATATAGTTCTGCAAGTGTCTCAAATCAATGTATTCCTTCCATCACAATTTTGTCAAAAATTATGTATGTGCTGATGTGACACATAAATGGGTCATACAAGTCTAATTAAATTAAAAAATATATTACAAATAGGCTTAATAATTTAATAGTTAATAAAAAAAGTTGTCAACCCAAAAACCCAGTCCTACAATCACCTACGATCCCAGTCCACATTTCTCTACCTCCTTCACTCTCTATTCTATTAAAAAAAAAATCTCAATATACCCATCTTTACACACTTCGACATCCTTTACCGAATTGAACCTGGATCGAGATTGTAGGAAGTATGCCCACAAAGCCACTCATTTGATGTAATACCTTTTGGAATACTTGTTGTGTTAAACTATTATATGTTTAATGAAGGGCAAATCTTATTGTTAATCACTATTTATTGTATTATGTGTTTAAGCAATAAGGGAATCCAAGGAATGTATTTAATATAAGAGAGAAGTGATCTAAGTAAGTTAGATTAACGAGACCTTTCTCTTATGTTCATTCCTAAAACGTTCCTAACCATAGGATTGCCAATTGGGCATTGACAATCCGCTAAGGTTAGTATGTGTTATGTTAACTCAAGCGTGATTATGACTAGTCTCAAGTCATTTAGTGTTGGACACTGAGACAAACACATAGGTGCTCAAAAGGTAATTAAGTACATTGAACAACAATAAAAAATGAGTTCGAACATACATGTCATGTCAGAACTCTTAAGTTGCAATATGCAAAGTAGTCTTTTGACCTGAGGCATCATAGATGTCTAATGGTTGGGTCCTTGATATTTGATCATGTTAAAGGCATTCCATTGAGAGTGTCCACGGCATTGTTGGGGTCAAGCTATCTAGTCATGTAGGCATATGAATGCACAACAAGGGATCTCTATCCTTCCATGGTGGAGGGAGAATACTCTGAGATATGATTCGGGAGTCTTTGGCCAAAGCATACGAATATGAATTAGGAAGTTTGTTCCAAGTCATATTCAATTGAATCATATAGAGAAGTATCACATTGGATAGTAGACATGAAACAAACTATCACTTAAACAATGTGATTAAGAGTATTGTATTAGAAAAGGACCGTATTGCATTGTAATTGTAACTAGATAGGTTCTCTAACCACTTCTACTTAGCTTGGGTAGCCATGACATACTGCTAGGTGTCACACATGGTTAGTGGAAGCCTTGAGGATTAGCAAACACTAATCTTCATCAAAGGGAGAATTGAAACGTAGTTTCAATTCACAATCGATCGTTAAGGGTAACAATTACCCACTGACTCGCTAATTGGAACCTAATGGATCGTACACTGAGTAAGGATGAAAGTGAAGAAATATATATGAGATGGATAAGCAATTAAATAGTTGATGCGAAAATTAACTTAACACACAAATTAAACCCTCTTTTGACAATTGTAGTATATGTATAAGTAGGGATCGTTCTGGACCGGGGATTAGGAGGGATTGCTAAACACTCTAAACTAACTCAAATAGATCAAACTAAGCTTTAAAACACTTAACTAGACTTAAAAGACTCAAAACAAGTTCACAAGACTCAAAATAAGCTAAAAACACTCAAAACTGCCTAAAAACGTAATCTGGGCAGTTTCTAACTTTAAACATAACTTTGGACGAATTTTGGGTTTTCCTTGACTCAAACACTTAAAAACACAATCTAAAACAGATTTTAACTAGTTAGACACTCTAAAGTAAAGGGGGATTTGGTTTTGGACGAAAATAAAGTAAAACAAAGCAAGAACTAAACTAGGTAGATTTGCACGAATTTGGTGAAATTAGATGGATGATGGGCTAGCTAGAGGGTCTTTCTCCACACATGACACACTTGCATACAAAACAATCTCCAGTTGCTTTTTCAATGAACCATGAACCTCAACACCCCAAGTTAATTAGGTACGCTTAAATTAACCCTCAGATTTTCCTTAAATCATTGAATTGAATGGAAATAGCGCATCACAATCAAATTATTCCTTAAAAGTTCCCTACATGGAAGCGCATAATAGAGACACAATCAAAGATCATTAAGTGCTATGAAAATCATAAGTGTTGACAAGGCATTCGTAACTATGAAAGCGCATGATACTTATGCCAGGAATTTACTTAACATGATTGTGACTAACAACCTTTACTACTTATGAATAT